TTAACTCTCAACTCAGGATACAAGAAGTTAAATATACATAAATCAATTCCATATAATACAAAAATAGACATTGAAATTTTAAAAATCAATTGCAAAACATAGAAAATCCAATACATATGTATAATCTTAACAAAATATTACAAGAATATACACAGTAAACTAAATATTACAAGAATATATACACCCCCTACTTGGTATCAAGCCTATAACCCAGGTATGTGCCCTGACTGGGAATCAAACCATGACCTCCTGGTTCATAGGCTAAGGCTCAACAACTGAGCCATACAGGCCAGGATAAATGTTTATTTTTAAAGAGCGAATTTCACTATTTATAAATTATAGCTTGAAAAACCTGATCTATAAAAAAAAACATCAGTGTTTAAAAATGCATTTATGCCCTAACCAGTATGGCTCAATGGATAGAGCATCAGCCTGTGGACTGAGGGGTCCTGGGTTCATTTCTGGTCAAGGGCATGTACCTTGGTTGTGAGCAAATCCCCAGTGGGATGTGTGCAGGAAGCAGCTGATCAATGTTTCTCTCTTATTGATGTTTCTAACTATCCCTATCTCTTCCTCTCTGTAAAAAATAAATAAAATATATTTTTTAAATGTATTTGTAAGGAAATTTCCATACTACTCTTTATAAATGTACTAATTATAAATGCATCTTTAAACACTGCAGTTTTTTAAAAGTCAGGTTTTTTTAAGCTATCCTATACTATATAATATAAGCCTAATATGCAAATAGGCCAAATGGTGGAACAACCGAACAACCCGTCACTATGACAGCACTGACAACCAGGGGGTGCTTGCAGAACATGATGGGCATCGGCATAAGGCAGCAGAGCGCGGAACATGGTGGCCATTGGCCACGGGGGGATGGTGGAGCAGGTGAGCAGGGGCGCCAGACCACAGCAGGGCACAGGTCACTGTCATAGGGGCAAGGCTCTGCTGGTTACTAAAAATTCTTTGCTCCTGTATGCTGCAGTCCTATCCGGTGCTGGCCTCAGTTGCACTCAATGCTGGCACCTGGCACCCGGCAACAGCCCCGATAGCACAGCACTGTCAGTGAGTGCGAGCAGCAACTGCAGGCCCCAATCATCCCTCAGGGCTTCTCCACCTCCCTTTGCTCCTAAGGGGCGATTGGGGCAGCAGCCCCCTCTCGCACCTGCTGCTGGCAACGGCCCCGCTCGCACCCGCAGCCAGCAACCAGGCTGCCACTTGTGCCCACTGCCACTGCTGGCCCCACTTGCACCTGGCGCTAGTCCTGATCGCTCAGCACTGTCAGTGGGTGTGACCACAATCACCCTTGAGGGCTTCTCTACTTTCCCCTGGTGATCGGGGCAGCAACAGCTGCTAGCACCCACTGACAGCATCAGCCCCACTTGCTCCATGCTGTCAGAGGATGAAAGCTATGCCATTGTCTTCAGTACATGGGAGTGTCAGCCATGGGAACAGGGATGCTGGCAGACAGGGGACTATGTCCCCGGCAGGAGAGGCCCGGTGAAGGTGTGAAGGATGGGCTGAGAACCTCCCTTGTGCCTACCGCAGCCTCATAGCCTACAGTTCCTTTTTAGGTGCATAAATTCATGCATTGGGCCCCTAGTAATTTATATAAACAAAAGGTGAGAATAATAGTTACCTAGGGAAAAGAGAAATTAGAGAAGAATGGCAGATTAAGTGCTTCTGGAGTGCTTGCAAAATTCTATTTTGCCTTGGATGGGGCCACATGCCACAAGAGTGCTTGCTTTATAATTATTTATTTAATTGTGCTTTTATATTTTGTGAGCTTTTCTTTATATTTTAATCACAATAAAGCATTTTAAATTATAAAAAATGACCATTTTGCTATCCTTTCAAATAAAAGAGTGATATGCAAATTAACCATCATTCTGCTATACTCACAAGCCATGCCCACCAGCCATGCAAACCAGCAGGTAAGAGTGACTATGCAAATTAACCTAACCAAGATGGCTGCAGGCACAGAGAAAGCAGGAGGGAGGCTTGGGTTTCCCAGGCAATGGAGGAAGACAAACTTTCCACACATCCTGGCCGGCCCAGGCCTCTGCTTAAGGCTACAAAGTTTCATTTATAGAAGATACACAAATCCCCTTCTGCAAGTAGAAGGCTTGGCTCTGCTCCAGGCTATAAAGTTTCAATTGTAGAAGATAAATAAATCCAAGATACCAGGGCCTTCACTTGGGTTGTGGGGAGGAGTGGCCAGCCTGCAAACCACCCATAGGTCCCTCACCCAGGCCGCCCCATGCTCCAAGGGAAACCCTACCCAGATCTGGGATACCCTCAGGCAAACCAGCTAGCCTCCAACCATGCACCAGGCATTTATCCTACCTAATAAAAGAGTAATATGCAGATTGACCACCACTCCAACGCACAAAATGGCTTCCCCCATGTGGTCAAAGATCCTGCTCCTATGTGGACACAAGATGGCCACCACAAGATGGCTAGCAGGGGAGGGCAGTTGGGAGGAACCAGGTCTGCAAGGGAGGGCAGTTGGGGGCAATCAAGCCTGCAGCGGAGGTCAGTTAGGGGTGACCAGGCCGGCAGAGGAGGGAAGCTGGGGCCAATCAGGCTGGCAGGGGAGCAGTTAGGCATCAATCAGGCTGGCAGGGGAGTGATTAGAGGGTGATCAGGCTGGCAGGCAGAAGCAGTTAGGGGCAATCAGGAAGGCATCTCCCAATCAGTTGGGAGCCAGCAGCCCTGGATTGTGAAAGGGATGCCCTACTGCCCATTTAGGCCTGATCCCAGTGGGACCAGGCCTGCAAGGGAGGGCCTAAATGGGCAGTTGGACATTTCTCAAGGGGTCCAGATTAGATAGGGTGCAGGCTGGGCTGAGAGACACCCCCCTGTGCACAAATTCCATGCACCAGGCCTCTAGTTCATTCATAAAACTCTATGAAATAGCTTTTACACTATTAGTAATATGATCTAGTTATCAGAGGAATTTCCACAGAATAGTTATAAAACCCAAGCAAATTGCAAAAAGCAATGCAGAGTGTGGAAGGAACAGATCAACTCTCATGGTGGAATACACTCAAAAGAAAGGACTTCTACTAGTATGTAAACAAAGTTTGTAAATTCATCAATATTAGAACTTTTAGTCTGGGGCTAAGTATAACCTGGTGGAAAACAAAGGTTTCCTTGGTCAAAGGAACCAGAAAACTAAGCCACAGAACCATGGCTGCTGAAAAAGTGGGGAAAGAAATTTCTCAAGGGAAAAAGTCAGAGTAGAAATCCCAGATTCTTTCTAGCCCCATTTCTGACTGACTGACAGAAGTATAGAATAAACTAAAAGCAGCTCAGTTAAAGGCAAAGATTTGAATTGAGACTGAATCAACACCCAAGAAAAAGAGGACACAATTCATATCCAACCAAGTAATCTGCCTGTTAAAACAAAAATAAAATAGCCATTGCAAAATAATGAAATTCAGAATCTCTATATCTGAATATAGAGATTGTACATGCTATGTACCAGGCATTATGCTATGTTTTGGGAATATAGCAGTAAAATAAAGTCCTTGCCTTCGTGGAAGTTATAGTTAAATGAAGAAGACAGGCAAGAAAGTATAATGAAACTTAAATGTTTTAATGGCAAAATCACAGAGAATACATAATAGGGATGTAAATAAAGCTTTCCATAAGTTTTCAACAGTTAGCCAAAGGAGTAGAGTATTTCAGGCAAGGCTTGGAGATAAAATGGATGGCACAATCAAGAACTAAAAGAAGCCCAGTATAGTTGGTGTATACATGGTAATAAAAGAATGACAAAAGATGACACTAAAGGGATCAGCAGGGACCAAAGTAATTGAAGAGCCAAGATACAGAGTCTGAACATAATTAAGAGCATTTAGAAGCCTCTGAAAGATTTTCAAGCAGAAAAGTGATATATTTCACTTTTTGTTTTAGAAAAGTGCTCTAATGGCACTGTAAATAGACTGAAGAAAGCAAAGAAAGTTTTCAAGTTCAGAAGATGTTTCAGAATTTCAAGTGAGAAATTACACTTCATCTGGTTTAGTGGAAGAACAGAGGCAGAACTAAGGAGGCATTTACAATATGTTTAAGAAGTTGAATTGATTGGACTTAAAAAATGTTACACAGCAGTGTTGGGAAGAAAGATTATAAATCCAGTTGTAGTGATGCTGAACTACAGATCTTTTTAAAATATAAAAGTAGTTATCTTCATTGTGCAGGTAGATAAACCTACATTTTACGAGTAAGATCTATGCTGGAGATAAAGATTTGGGTTTCATTAGCTCATAAAGGATATCAATGCAATGTCCTTTGTAGATTGGAAATGGTAGACATTAACACTTTACACAGAAAAGAGAAACAATGGGATTAAAAGAACTTTTTATATTGAAATTTCTAATTTCAATGGCAACATTATATGAATTCCCAGCTTCCTCTAGATAGGCCTCTGTAATATAGTTTTCTCATCTAAGCAACATGATGATTCCAATTGTCACATCCTCCCCTTTGCTGCCCCAGCCCTGATGGGCCCCAATCAGGGACAAGGCCTACCAGCCAACCTCCTGCAGCTCCTCTCCCTCTTACCTTTCCTCTCCCCAGCATCAGCCCTGCTGGGCTGGCCAGGCTGAAAGACCCCACCTGTGCATGAATTCATGCATGAGGCCTCTAGTTGTCACATAAGCTTAGAGGCCTGAATGAGTTTTGAAAGCTAGGAGAAAATTTTTATAAAACCAAGTAAATAACTTTAAGCAAAATATGTTGGTTTCAGAAAAATATTATTTTCATATTTAAGGAAAAAAGTATTCATATAACATCTCCTTTCCTGATTTAAAATTTAAATGTGTACAAAGGAGGGGGGAAAAGGGGGAAATAAATATCAGTTAAATATGATTTTTTTCACACAATTAATATTACCTTTAAATTTAATGGAGCTCCAACAGTGACAGAAACACAGAAGAAAGAAGCAACTAACAAATATACATGCTCAGAAAAAAAAATTAATTCAAGCTTACCTTGCTCCTAAATTTTCAGTGGTTATATATTCATCCTTTCTCACAACTTCAAACTGCAAGTGATGGAAAAAAATAGCCCTAAAGCAGTTCAATTTTTTTTTTTTAATCAATCTTTATTGTTCACATCATTACAAAGGTTCCTCATTTCTTCCCCCCTCCACCAGGTTCTCACCCCACCCTCCACCTGTCTCCCCTCCCCCATTGTCCTCATCCATAAGTGCACAGTCTATGTTCAGTCTCTTCCTCCCTCCCTTTCCCCAATAGTAAATCCCTTTTCAGATAGTAAATCAGTTACTTAGCATTTTCTCATATCAATAATACTTCCACATGCCCAAAGATACACTTCACACAAAAGACATTTCCAAATAGGTCAACCAACCTCATCCAGGCCCCGCACAAGGCACTCACAGATCAACACCCCAGCGCTATACTAACTCAACATATCCAGATCTAAGCCTTCATCACTTGTTTCAGCAGACCCTCAAATTCCCATAAAAGTTTCCAGCCATGTCTGAGAGGCAGCCTTGGGGCAGGGGCAGGCGAGGAGCGAGCTGCTCCGGGCCAAGCAGTTCAATTTTTAAAGTTCTTTAATATTACTAGTTAGCCTTAACACTTGAAATAAGACAATGAGTAAGAAGCTATAGCAAATATAAAACAAAACAGAAGTGACAAGGTGAGCTATAAACAATTCTAACAAACAATAAACTACAGTTGATTTTTTTTAAAATTCTACTTTACATCATTATAAGATTTAAATATCAATATGAAATACAAAAAGAGTATTACTAAAGATAAAGAAATAATATATATTTCCATGCAATTTTGGTCTACTTAAAAACTGAAAATTCAATCAGCATTTCATTAATTTAAAAACAAAATGAATATAATTTGAGAACATTTTATGTAACAAGTACTATATGTGATTTCTAAGAATATTTTCTTTGAAAGATATGAAAGAAGGTCAGAAAGTCTAAAAGTATTTTTAAAATTAGGTGGCACAGATTAGATTATCATCATTGGTTCATGTCAGACTTCTCATTAGTAAAGACACAGCCTGCTTTATATGTGTCTGTGTGTATCTTCACTTTTTAAATTTTCTTATTCTTCAGAATTACTTAAATACTACTTTGCAGAAATCAAGCAATAGAAAGGTCAGAAATTAAGTCACCAACAAAGAGAAAATGGCAAAAATACCATTGCTATGATTCCCAAATATTTTGAAATCAGAATGCTATTCCAATGGAAGAAAAATAAGAAAAAGATACTCACCAAAATTTTAACAGTTCCAGGTTCATCACATTGTAGCATCCTTACCATGTCACCTGTACATCCTTCCTTCAAACATTTTTTCCCACTAAAACTCTAAATAGAAAAAAAAATTATCAAAACAAAAAAAAACATTACAAGCAATAAAAAGAAAAATTACTGATGTAGAAATTTAATCATTTTTTTAAAGTTAGAAGCAGATGTTTCTAGATGATAAAACAAAAGATGTGAAAGAACACCTGAGAGTTAGCTATTCAAAAATAGTCCATCTCATCAATCAATGGATTTCCTATTTAAAATTCATAAATGCACTTTTCTTTCATCATTTCTACTTCAAAATCTTCAAGTAGCTATATTACAGCCTCAGATGTAGTACCTAAGCACAGGAAAAGCAACTTCAAGTGACATGTACTAATTAGGTAAATGTATAAACAGTGAATTTCTATTAGATATATGAGGATTACAGGGAAAATGAATTGAAATCTTGAGGATTTCCTCTGGTTCTGATCTTCATTTTCTCTTGTTAAGTCACTTAAGTTTTCTTTTAGTTCTTTTTCTAAAGTTGAGCAATATTAATTGCCCTAACAATCAATGAAAATAAAAAACAAATGCTACTTAAACAAATAAATAATGCTTTATTGTACAATAATTTTTACAGTATAAAACAATGCAAGTACATGTTTTATCTGTTAATCTTCACATCTTATGAAGAAGGTATTACTATCCTCACTACATGGCTTAAAAAAATGAATTTCAGAGCAGTTAAATTACCAGCCTAATGTAAAACAAACAAAAAGCAAACAAAACACTATAAGTGGTTCAATCTGGACTTGAACCCAACCTCCCAAATCCATATATAATGCTCTTTCTATGCCACAATTTCTTTATTGGGGTTTTCTGTGTACACAATGTAAACAGTCTGACCAAATACCATAAACCCAACTTGTAGTAACCAACTCACCAAATAGCAATTAATATAGAATTGGGCTTTACACTTTTACTTTAATTTTAGTGGCAAAGAATTCAATTTAGTTATATGACTTTAGGTAACTACACATAATCACAAATAGACTTTTGAATACTATAAAATTTATCATTGTTCTCTATCCTTTAAATAAAAATTATCCTTAAATTGTTTAACTATCCTTTCTGTTTGTTAAGCAATTCTATTCTTTGATTCTATGACTTTTATGTAAATATATGCGACAATATTTCTATTCTTAAGAGTATAAACTTCTATAGCGAAAGAAATAGATAGAAATCACTAAGCAAAGCAACAAGCAGAGTATCCCCTGCAAAGATCTGTTTAATAAATGGTGATGATGAAAAGGAATAGTAAGGAGAAAAGTATCAGAGAAAATGAGGGGGTAGGGGAGACAAACACAGAGGAAAAACAGAGGAGGAAGAATATGAACAGAAAGAAATAAAAGAGAGAGAGAGAGAGAGAGAGAGAGAGAGAGAGAGAGAGAGAGAAAGGGTAGAGGAAGAAATGTTATACTAAAGTTTTTAAGGAAAAATGAAATACCTGATCATTTTCACCTGGATATTTTAAATTCTTGAACTTTTTCCAACAAATTATATGAAAATAAATACAACAATTTTTACTGCACATTAATTGAAAAAATCCCTGAAAAAGAATGAAAATAAGCTGTTGATCTAGAAATAGGATTTCATATATATGTAAACAGAAATATCACTTTAAATCACTTTTAACTTCACAAGTTTGTTTTTTGTTTTTCCCTGTGTGTCCTCTCTTGGAATTATAGCTATGCTTCCTTTAAAGGGGTAGACTGCTTGGATGACAAAAATCTAAATTTTGTGGCCAGGACTTCCTGCTGCTACATGCTATGTATGTGATTGGAACCCTATAACCTCCCTGGGAAACCAAAACCATATCACCATGTCACCTACACTAAGACTGAACTTGCCCATTGTAAGCACTACACTTCACCAGTCCACCTTCCTAATTCCTAACTAACCCTAATAAATAGATCTTGGCCTTTTCCTCCTCCCTTCTTATCCCATTTGCTATACACATCATGCCTTTCTTTTTTTACCCATTATAATGGCCATCTTTATTTTTAAAAAACATATAAAATGTATCCTTTTAGTCTTTGAGTTTTCATTTTTACAAAAACAAAAACTCACATTTAAAACATTCTCAACTGTCATTCTCACAAACAGATTTTTTTTAAGCAGCCCTCCCTGTTACATGCTTCATTCTGGACACCCATGCCTTTCAACTAAGATTTCCATTATTTTATAGAAGTGGTGTTAGATTTGCACTGATAATCACATCTCATTTTATCTTGTGATTTCACAGTGTTATTCTGCCATATCCACTGGGAACAGATTTTAAGTACTTTAGTTATTGAATTTCTTCAAATCAAGGCTGGTTATGATTTTTTCTCCCTTAAAGCCTAGACTAAAAATAATGATCACTTACTAACATAAATCTTAAGGAGTGACAATCTTTCTCCTTAGTTAAATAAATTTTAAATAAATGAAAATAAAATAACATTTCTAACTACAAAGACTATTTAAATAATTTCCACTGTATGATAACAGAAATATTAATTATAACTTCAAAGACATGTGAATATTACAAAACCCTTAACAAAACCAATTCATTCTTTTATTGACTCACAGGGTATTAGAATTCTAAATTCTTAAAAATACTCAAACAACTTAGCATCTGCATTATCACTGTTATTAAACTAAGTACTCTTTTTAAATACTATTTTGATGCATAATACAATAATTTTTATCTAAGTTTATTTTTTAAATATTCAGCTATCAACTGATAATTATAGTACCTTATAATTGGTGTTCCTTAAAATGTCAGCTTCACAAGATCGTTCACAATCTAGATAACTGCAAATGGTCTGCTTCATTATATTACTTTCAGTTATCTCGATAAAATTATTGAGAAGATCCTAGATTTAAAAAATAGAAATAAATCTCATAAATAGTAATAATAAGACTATATCACTTTCAATATTTTAGCATAATAATTTTAAGTAATTTAAGTTAAATTCTTTTTTGAAGATATTTTTATGTATTTTTTTAAGTAATAGAATATATTTTCCTCATTCAAAGTGAACAATAGATAGGAAGGTGCTAAAATAGAAATACTGGATCTCTTACTGAATATTAACATGGTGAAAGGAAAAAAGCGTGCATAAAAATTCGCTGAAAATGTTAGAATAATAAAGAAAAATATTTTAAAGGGAGGAGAAAGTAGAAAAATAACCACAACCAAGTAGGAATTCTTTAGATAAGTATAGAAATTAATTTTTTTTAAATGTATAAAATTATTACTATATTAGGTCAGATTTAAAATTCATATAGCTATCCTGACAAATGCCAAAAATTGTCTACTTATTCTATTGATTACTGAGACAGGTATCCTATCTAATAAAAGAGAAATATGCAAATTGACCATACCTTCACTATGCCCACAGCCAATCAGAGAAAATATGCAAATTAACCCAAACAAAGATGACTGTTAATTTGCATATGCAGGCACTGAGCAGCCTGAATCCTGGAAACATCCTCCAGACCCAGGCCACACCTAGACTGTAGGCCTGTGCTTAGGTCCTGAGCGGCAGGGGTCGCAGAACACCCCCTGGCCACTCGGAGCCTAGGGGATCAGGCTCCACGTGGCCTGGCAGGTGGGAACATCCCCGCATCGCTATAGCAACGCAGGGATGTTCCCACCCTACCCCCAGCCACTTGCAAAGTCTCCTTCATGAAGCGGCAGTTTAAGTCCATGCCCCAGCCAGGCACCCACAACCAGAGGCTGGCTGCTGGCCTCTTGGGTGTGCCGAGTCCCTGGTAGCCACAGCTGCATGCTGCCCAGAGTCCCTGCATGTCCCCAGGTCGGGGTCCATGGTGGGCCTGGCTGCTGGGTTGGGGGCATTTGGAGAAGGGGATGTTCCTACCCTGCCCCCCAGCAGCTTTCAGAGCTCCAGCAGCAAGTGGCAGTTCGTGTTCACACCCCCAGCCTAGTGCCCTCTACAGGGGGATGGTTGCTGGCCTCTGGGGTGTGCGGAGACCCTGGGGGCCACCCTAGCCCAGTGGACACAACCCAGGGGCTGCATGAACTGCTGAGGATACACCTATTTAAAATATTTTTTATTGATTTTTTTTTTTTTTTTTTTTTTTTTTTTACAGAGAAGAGGGAAGAAGGATAGATAGATAGACAGTCAGAAATATCAATGAGAATCATCAATTAGCTGCCTTCTGCACGCTCCCCACTGGGAATGTGCCTCCAACTTAGGTACATGCCCTTAACAGGAATCAAACCTAGGACCCTTCAATCTGCAGGCTCATGGTCCAACCACTGAGCCAAACCAGTTTGAGAGTAAAAACCTTTTCTGATAGCTCATTGGCTAAGCTCCCTTTAGGCCACCACTTGCAATGTTCTTGGTCATTTTGGTTATAAGAATCCAAGAAGGTGATTTAGGGTTTTTCCACCATACTCCAGGAGGAAAAAATGAAGGTCCCTTGAGGGGTCCCAGATTGAAGAGGCTGCAGGCTGGGCTGAGGGACCAACCCCCCACCCCCGTGCATAAATTCCGTGCACCAGGCCTCTAGTCTATACTAATAATAGAGAAATATGCAAACTGTCTGGGACTCCATCACAGTAAAGACTGAACAAATGGCTGTGTGGGACCATTAGGCCAACAGAGGGGTTAGTGAGGGATGACCAAAGAATTGAACAGCAGGCTGCATGGGGCAACCAGGCCAGCATGGAGGCTAGTGAGGGACGACCAAATGACTGAACAAGCAGGCTGTGTGAGGCAACCAGGCTGTCAGGGGGGCTAGTGAGGGACAACCAAATGACTGAATAGCAGGCTGGGTGGAGTAACTAGGCTGCCGAGGTGGGAGGAGGGAGGGAGGGGGGAGGTGCGCGCAGAAGCAGTTTGGGATGACCAGGCCAGCAGGAAGAGGAGTTCGGGGTGACCTGGCCGGTGGAGGGGTGGAAGTTGGGAGCAACCAGGCTGGCAGGGAGGCGGGGGGCAGTTAGGGGCGATCAGGCTGGCAGGCAGGTGAGCAGTTAGGAGCCAGCGGTCCTGGATTATGAGAGGGATGTCCGACAGTTGGACATCCCCTGAGAGATCCTGGATTAGAGAGGATGCAGGGTGCACTGGGCCTCTAGTATTAAAATAATCTGTGATTGGAAATTTTTATTTCTCTTTTCAATTCCATCAGTTTTGTCCCATCTATTTTGAGGCTATATTATAAATTTTGAGTTGCTATAGCTTCCTGAAAAATTGAATTGTGTGTTTTAATGAAACATCTCTTTTTATTTCGATGAATGCATTTGGCCTTAAAGTCAGGTAAAATATAAGGATCCAAATAGGTTCAAAACAAAAGTCTGGAAAGAAGTTATGTCATTCAAACCAAGTGAAACTTGTTGTTAATGTTCTTATTAAGCAAATTAAAAAGTGATCAATGCGACTTATCAAATAAAAAAATTATCCAAAAAAGAATACCTAGAGTATGTGGAAATATAAAAATGCTCATACTGTGTTTTAAGACTATAACCTGTTATAAACTTTCTGAGAGAAAATATGGAGATATATCTCAGCAACTTTACAAATGTGTGGACAGTTGCTTCACAATTCCACTTTTAGAAATTTGTCCTAAGAAAATGATGTAAAAGATCACTTTTTATATAGTGAAAAAGTAACATGTTTAGGATAAACTAAATATTCAACAGCAGGATGAGTGTCTGGAAAGATATAAATGAAAATGGCAACATTGGCTTCTCCATTTAAAGAAATGTGAACAAATTTTAGTTTTACCTTCAAGCATTTTTACATTTTTCAGTTTCCTGAGGCATTTAGTACTTTTAAAATTAGAATCAACAACAAAATGGTTAAGTATAATTTGAAAAAAATGTTAACTTTTGCATTTAGCTCTAGCCTTGTGAAGAACTAGATTAGTAGAGCTTTTAATCTTATCTGAAAATGCTAATATAGCCTCTTCACTTCTTTCTATTTGTTGAATTATACATTCTGCACTACAAAATGAAATCAAGTTTGTTTCTCATATAAAAAAAACACACGAATTTCCAATTAAAGAATGTACTTCATATGAATATGACATAGACATAGTTAGGATAAACTGCACTTTATCAAAGATGATTCTGATTAGTTAGAAATGAAATGTTATTCTTAAATAATTGCTTACTTTAAAAGTTGTAGGGAAATATTCATCTTCCGTAGGATCTATGTCAAACCAATGATCATTTGTATCACTTATTTCTTGTAAGCTTCTATGAAATTCTAGCAGTCCTCCATTATATCTGCAAGGCATTTTAAATAAGGTTAGTTTGAATGTGACACTGTAACTAAATAGTTTAAAATAAGACGCTTTTTTGTGTGTGATAAGTAGGGTAGTGATAACCTCTGGCATGCTATAGAAATACAAATACTAGGATTCTCACCTGTGGTAGATTGGGATGAAAAACAGGTGGAAGGGGAGACAATTGATTATGTAATAGCTCACGTGAACAGTATGGGGACCATGGTAATTAAAGGGATTGTAAAGCTGACTGGCTTTTGCTTACTGTCTTGGAAGCCTTAAAGAAAGAGAATGACAGGCACAGGTCAGCCTACTATTGACTCAAGACACACTGTGAAAGACAGAGGCCTCTTTGTTGGCATTTAAAGAGACCCTCATCTTCTGCAGATATATTGGGTAAATATAATCTGTGTTAAAAAATCAGTCCCACATTTAATCACAAGGTGCAGCAAACCATAAAAGAGATGAAATGCATAACCTTGATGGGACTGCTATTATCAACTCAGGGTAAAAGGCCTCCATGGTAATATATAAAGATTCCTTACCAACCCTAATTATAAGGGCAAACTATGCTGAAAACAAGGCCCAGTATTTAATCACAAGAGTAGAACAACAGCAAAGACCAAAAGCACAGCCTCAACAAGTACCATTATGTGGAAATTGGAGCTCTGACAGAAAACAAGGAGACTCTGAGATCTGGAATGAGGACATTTAGTTGAATATGCTTAGAAACAATGAATCCCTAAATTCTCATGAACCCTCTGACTGGCAAAGACCTATTTCTTGCTAGGATGGGCAGATTCCCTTTATTCAGGGACCATACAAAAATATCATTTGGAGTACATGTCTCAAAAGATGACACCTTCCTTCTCAAGATCTTTCCTCACCACTCATTGACTACAGACCAATACTGTATATATAGGATCACATAAAAGCAAAGTCCAAATAGAACAGAGTCCCTGCACAGGAGGAAAAAAAAAAAAAAGAAAGAAAAAAGAAAAAAGAAAGCTTATTCATCATGAGAATTGCAGAACTTGACTAGTATTTACTAGAACATGTGTGAACCTTCAGAGTGCTGTACTAGTGGACAAATATACAGCTGAATAGGGAAATGTGCACATGGGACATCTTCCAAAACTCAAAATTTAATTCCATGCTGCTTAAGAAGGTTATTTCAAGCTTAGACATAACAATGGCCTATGGTAACTGAGGTGGAAATGCTGGAAATTTTGTGGCAGAGTATTAAAAGAAAGCTCAGGGAGATGAGGATATTAGAAAGGACTTAGTACATAAGACCATAGAATCCACACTAGACAATGTCCTCTGGAGTAGTGGTCACCAACCTTTCGGACCCCACAAACCACCAATGGTCCACAGACCACTGGTTGGCGACTGTTGCCCTGGAAAGACCAAGGTGACACTCCACCCATTAATGCAATAAGAAATGTTAGTATATAATGACTTTCTAGTGTCAACCATCTGGAAAATGGATTCTCTCCAATGCCCATAAGTACAGAGAATAAAAAGTCATTTACATATCTGAGGGAAGATCAGTAATATACATTCGTTTCTTGTTTCAGAGCTGTTAATTCTCCCCACAATATAAACTAGAGGAATTTTTATCATTCTGACATTCTGCAAAACATTGCACTGTTCATTGGTATTGATGACATCATACTACTGAACAGAAAGTAGGAAATCTTCTGGATACCTTAGTAAAAAGCAAGCATGCCAAAGGATAGAAGATAAACCAAAGAATCAGGGAACTAATAGGTAGTGATGCTTTTATGGACCCAACTGGAGGCCTGGAATTCGTGCACAAGTGGGAGCCCCCCAGGGGTGGCCTGTGGGGATAGAGCTGAAACCCACAGTCCTACACTGCCTTCAATTCCTACCTGATGCTCCCGCTCATCTTGTCCCCACTACACCTGCTGCAGGCTCACACCAATCAGTCCCAATCAGGAGAGCTGTGAGCCTTGCAGCTGGTGCCCTCAAAGGGGAGTGGCCTGTGGGATTGGGCTGAAACCGGTTCTCCGACATCGCTGAGGGGTCCTGGATTGTGAGAGGGCACAGGCGAGGCTGAGAGACCCCACCAGTGCAAGATCAAGGCTAGGAAGGACTGCAGGAGGGCTCCAGGGCTTGTCTGGCCCATCTTGCTCAGTCCTGATTGGCCGGACCCCAGCAACAAACTAACCTACCAGTTGGAGCGTCTGTTCCCTGGTGGTCAGTGCACATCATAGCTACTAGTCAACCAGTCAACTATATGCCCCCTGTTGGTCAGTGCACATCAAAGCGAGTGGTTGAGCAGCCTTAGTATATCATTAGCATATTACGCTTTGACTGGCTGAACAGTTGATGGGTCACCAGAGGACCAGACACTTAGCATATTAAGCTTTTATTATTTAGGATGTCTGGGTCAACAGTAATCCTTCATATGGATTTGTGTAAGTAAACTTTGTGTAATTCACTCTTCAAATCTCAGCTAAATATTATTTTCTCAGAGAGACTTCTGATTCCCAGAACCAGGCTGGGACTCTAGAAGTTGTTTATTGTTCACTGTATATACATCCATAGTTTTTTATAACATTTTATAATTATTTTACACAATTTATTATTTGATTAATACTATAATATTATCAGTTACATGGGAATAGGAATTGTCTATTTTATCAATAATTATATCTCCAAATCTAGAATATGATAAATGCTTAACAAATAAAATGAATGCTGTTACAAATGGCTAAGGATCTCCAAATAGGAAGTGAACAGACTGCTAGTCCATATAGATCACCTTATGCAATTTAACAAAATATATAATATGTTACTCTCCCAAAATTCAGTGTTTGGACATTTTCAGTGCTTTATTAGTAGTGATAACATTAAAAAGCACAACCATCATTTATTTACTAATATAGCATTTCTGTGTCCTGGGCACTGTGTTAATTACCTGCAACATCTTATGAGGTGGGCACTACTTTTAGTTCCATTTGACAAATAAGAAAAAAGATAAGGCTTAACCAGCATTACTTTTCCTTAAATCAAAGATCTGGTAGGTGGTAGAAAATGTATTTGAACCCAGATCTGTCAGACTCCAATGCCTAAATCCCAATGTCTATGTAATACTGCCCCGTACTGTCACAACCTGTTAAGTTTGATACTTAATATTCTCAAGTACATTAAATAAATTATTATCTGTAAAAAAATAGGTGAAGAAGAAAAAAATCCATCCAGCATTAATGTTATTATACCTGATATACTGTGAAAACTTTATTCCCTTTTCACAATGCAGAAAGCTGACAGGGAAGATCTATCCATTAGTTAAAATCCTTACCTTTTCTGAGCATATTGAAGCAAACCACGTCCAAAATAAACTAAAGACATAAAGTTTTGACAAATGTCATTTTCTTGGATCACCATCTTCATCACTAGAAACTTATTCTCAGCTTCTGTATAATCCTGTAGGAACATAGAACTCAGTTTGTCTAATGTAAAGACTTTTTTTTTTCTTTTACAATAAACAAATATTTCCCAAACTTGAGAAGTTAGGGAAACTTTAATATTGGTCCAGTCTTTTGGTCATTTATTCATATCTCTAATCCTAGCATCGCTGTATATAGTCACATATGCTTAAAATATGTACAACATAAGGTATTTTTTGACCAACATTTCAAAGTGAACACTAAAACAACAATAGCCCTGGCCTGGTGGCTCAGTTGATTGGAGCATCATCTGATACACCAAAAGGTTGAGGGTTCGATTCCCAGTTAGGGCATATACTTCGGTTGTAAATTCAATCTCTGGTATGGGAGGCAACTGACAGATGTTTCTCACATTAATGTTTCTTTTTCTCTCTCACTCCCCCTTCCTGTCTCTAAAAATCAATAAAAACAAATCCTCGGGTAAGGATTAAGAAAACCAATAACAATTTTTGTTTATAAAACTGGCAAATATTACTAGCTAATATTTTATAATTCTTACTAATTTTCTTTCTAATTGGTGCACAAACCTTCCTAATTTTTCAAATAACAAGTAAAAGTATAGATTTCTAGAGACAAAAAATAAAAGAAATATCAAAGTTGCAAAGAAAACATGGGAAATCATTAAAAAAATTAAAAAGATGATGTTAAATTTGAAAGAATTCTTAGAAATCACCTAGTTAACTCCCTGATTTTTACTTTTTGCACTTCAAATTATTCAACAAAATATTTAAAGTAAAGGGGGCGGGGGAAGGGCATAGGGAAGGGTGGGAACCGGGTGGAGAGGAGCAATGGAGGGGAAAAAATGAGGAACATTTGTAATAATATGAACAATAAAGATATATCTTTTAAAAAACATGCCTAGAAATTTAAAATAAAAAATTTAAACTATAACTCATATTAGAACCAGCCAAATTAAGCTCTACTAGAAAATGGATTAAAATGTATTGTATAAGTGAAAGATACTAAACAATTTTGTTTTATACAAATGGTAAGGATTTAAAGGATAAATAAAGTAACTAAAGTTGTAAGCTAAAATTATGTTTCCCTTCTCAACATTTTTATTTCACAAAATAGTCTCTGGCATAACGATACTATATTAAAAATATATAAAAGTTACTGAGTGGTATCAATTTTTAGAGAATTTCAAAAATCAACATTTTAATTTGTTAAAATGAGGTCAGTATATGTAAAAAGACTTTTAATAAGCAAATAACAAATGCTACATACCTCTTTCTTTCCTCTTTCAGTGAGTGCTATTCCATACAAAAACAGTAATGTCAAATAATAATCAATATTAATCTGATGTGCCTAAAAAGATAAAATATATTTTAATTGGTTATTTAGACTAAGCTACTTTAAAATTTAGCAAGATCAATTAAATATTTTAGGTCTAATTATTATTAAAAATAGTGAAATTATCATTATATGATCAATCATCTAATAATACAGAATTCATTTTAGACGTATTTGATAATTTGACCCAGAAGAGGATAGTCAATAAAACACGAGAGTTTGATTAAAGAAAATGAAAGCAATGCCATTAAGATTTGTTATGCTAAACCTTTTGTAAAATTATTTCATTTATATTTCAGATATCAAAACACTTTAGGTAATAATATAATGAACACTCATGTATCTACCATCCTGCTTAAAAAATACAATGATCTCTTAAATCAAAGTATTTTATTGTCCATGTGTGCATTTTGTTCTAATAGTATAAACATAGAGCTTGTCATTTCCTCAGTGAAAAATTAAAACATGAGGCTATTCCCTTCATCTATAATTTGGCCAAATTACAGAGATGGAGAAAAGATTAATAATTAGGAAGAGCAAGGAGGACAAGGGGTGCATGTGACTATAACGAGTTAGCATAAAAGACATTTTTGTAGCGATGTGAGTTCTTTTATCTTGACTGCAGTAGTGATTACACAAACACTGGTAATAAAATGGCACAGAACTATACATACCATGCACGAAAGTCAGCAGAGCTGACAGCTATCCATAGAAAGGCCTGATTGCAAGACTGACTCTTTATGGGTGTCTGGGAACCTGGATTTCAGGAGCATTCCCACTGTTCTCTGATAAAGTTTGGCTCACTGTGCCTAAATTGCTTGTACAAATAAAATGATTTATGCTAAAAACCTGGAAGTTTCCTCTGGGAGTTAAGAATTTTTATATATCCTAGGAAGAGGGTGCCTACATAACCATCCTCCAATAAAAACCTTAGGCACCAAATCCCTAGAGAGAAAAATCATATTCATAAACATTTTGTTGTATTTTTGTTGCCCCTCTTTTAAATCCATCTAGGACTCCTTTAGGGTGGTGTCCACCACCTCCTAGAACACTATTTTGGAGGGTCCTAAGTAAGAATTTTTTTTTCTGTGAGCTTGTACATTATTATAATACTAGAGGCCTGTTGCATGAAGAGATTCGTGCAATAGGCCTTCCTTCCCTTAGCTTCCAGCACCAGTTTTCCTCCGGCACGCGGGATCCAGAGACTCCCTTCTTGGTCTTTGCTGCAGGCTCCAGCCAGAATCTGCCACCTTCGTCTTCACTACAGACTCCAGCCAGTATCTGCCATCTTCGTCTTCACTGCTTTGCTGCAGACTCAGGCTGGAGTCTGCTGTCTTCATCTTTGCTGCAGACCCTTGCTGAAGTCTGCAGTCTTTGTCTTCGTTGCAATGGAGTTACACTCCAGTAGATCCCTTCATCCTCCACTCTATCTCTCATAGCAGGCGTCTTGCCCAGCCCTGCCACTCCACACCTGTAGCAGCTGGTCGACCACCATTTTTTGTCCTTCTAATTTGTATATTTCCTCCTGATTGGTTGGTGGGCATAGGGGAGTGATGGTCAATTTGCATGTTTCTCTTTTATTAGTGTAGACTAGAGGCCTGATACATGACATCCATGCAAGGGACTTGGCCTCACAGCTACAGTGGCTTGCCTCAGGTCTCGCAGACCCAGCTTTTTCCCAGAAGGTCAAGCAGCCGAATTAGCATAGTACGCTTGTTATTTATTATTATGGACTGAAGGCCTGGTGCATGAAATTTGTGAATGGGGGGGTTAAGGGGAGGAGAGGTTCCCTTAGCCCAGCCTGCAAACTCTCCAATTCGGGACCCCTCAGGGGACATACAACTGCTGGTTTAGGTCCTATCATGGGGATCGGACCTAAATTGGCAGTTGCACATCCCTCTTACAATCTGGGACCACTGACTTAACTGCTCACCTGTCTGCCAGCCTTATCATCCCTAATAGCATCTGCCTGCTGGCCTGATCACCCCTAACAGCCCCCCTGATGGCCTGGTTGCCTCTAACTCTCTAACTGCTCCCCACCCCCCCCCCCACTCCCGACAGCCTGGTCACCCAGTAACCACCTCTGCCTGTCGACCTGATTGCCTCTAACTGCCTCCCCCCATGACCTGGTTGCCCCCAGCTGCTGCCCCTGCCAACCTGATCACCCCTAATTGCCCCCCCACCTGCCTGATCACACCAACTGTCCCCCTTGCCAGCCTAGTCACCCCTCACTGCCCCCCTCTTCCAGCCTAATTGCTCCTAACTGCCCTCCCCTGTTGGGCTGGTTGCCCCAAACTGCACCCCTGCCAGCCTGGTCACCCCTAACTGCCCTCTCCTGTTAGCCTGGTATCCCCCAATTGCCCGAGGTCACTCCTCACTGCCCCCCCTGCCAGCCTGATCACCTCCAACTGCTGACCCCCAACAGCCGGCCTGGTTGACCCTCACTGCTCCTCCCACCCCCCACTGGTCTGGCCATCCCACACAGTCTGCTGTTCAGTCATTTGGTCATCCCACATTGCTCTCCCTGCCGACCTGATTGCTTCATGCAGCCTGCTGTTCACTTGTTTGGTCGTCTCTTACTGCCCTCCTTCTGTTCTAGTTACCCCATGCAGCCTGCTGTTTGGTTGACCAGTTGTTTCAGTTGTCATGATCACTGCCTTTTTATATATATAGATAGAATTTTGGTATCTTATGCTATTATATATGCTATCTTGTGTTGCTGGGTTGTCCTTTCTTGAGGATAACTCTAATTCATCATCTGAATGGGTGTAAAACTTAAGTTTACTGATACAAATTATTCTAAAGAAATAATTTTCCTTTTACTATCTTGTACTATTGATTCTAATTTTTAATGGAAGGTTTATATTTCTCTTATTTTCCTATTTATTTCTAAAGTATCATTTGACCTTGAACATGTAATTATATCTTATCAATTTTACCTCACATAAAGGAAACCAAGATGGGGACATAGATAAACACCTAAACTGCTCCCTTGCACAACAATTTCAAAACTAAAACTAAAAGACAAAATGTCTATCACCCAGAACCACGGGAAAGTTGGCTGAGTGGAAGTTATACAACTAAAAGGAAAGAGAAAAGAGCACTGAGACATGTACAAGCACTGAAAACCTGAGGTACAGAGGCACGCAAATCAGGCTGGCAGCAGGCAACTGGCGTACTGCTTTTTTTAACCTGAATGGAGACAAGCTCCTGATTACTCTGAACTCCAGTTTCTGGGGAGATGCTGGGGACCCAAACTCTTATGTGGAGAAGCTGGACTATCTACCATCGGGTCGGAAAGTGAGGATGATTTTCTTGAGAGGTGTGCCCAGCAAAAATTGCTTACTGTGCTGGGACCCAGTACGTGGGGACTTGGAAACGCAAAGATGCAGAGATGGTTGACTGGCAGCCATCGCTGTTTGCCATGCCCTAGCTTAGTGACTCCCTGAGATGCTGCCCCGCACAATCTACAAACCCAACCAAGCTCTGAGCAGCAACTTTTAGATATAAATGGCCTGCCCTATCACAGCTTAACCTAACAAAATGCAACTCTGGTCAGACAGCTCCAAAACCTCCAAACCTCAAGCAAAGAGGAGAAAACTGTAGTTCTCATTGTAGCTCCAGCTGGGTGGCCTCAGACAGTAGCTGACCTGCATCCCACTGGAGATCCAGAAGCTAGTATATTTAGTGGTCAGTGTGAGACAACACCAGATTTCAACTACTCACTTCCATAAGTGACACATTCAAGAGACAGACTCAGTGAGCACCAAAGCCCCAGTGAAACAAGTCCTTCCCCATAAGTGTTTCTCCAGCACAGCAGTTCTTCCATTATAGACACAGCGGGTCCTCACAGCCAATTGGCCCGGAGGTCAACTCTGTCCAGTGATACCAACAACAATCAAGGCTTAACTACAATAAAGCTATACACACAGTCTACATAGGGTGCACCAAGAGTGTCCACCTTAGGTAACTGGGAGGCTGACCATTGGGCTATACAGGACACGTAGCACACAAAGCCAACCTACCAACTCAGGGAAGCAGTGAAAATGCAGAGACAAAGAAACAGCTCACAAATGAAAGAAATGGAGGACATAGAGTTCAAAACCATGGTTATATAAGGTTTTTCAAGAATTTCCTAGAAAAGGCTGATAAATTTAGCCAGACCCTCAGAGATATGAAAAGGGACCAACTAGAAGCTAAACATACACTGACTGAAATAAAAATATTATACAGAGACCCAACACCAGACTAGAGGAACGCAAGAATCAATTCAAAAATTTGAAATACAAAGAAGCATAAAACACTCAACTAAAAAAGCAAAAAGAAAAAATAACCCCCAAATTTGAAGATAGTGTAAGAAGCCTCTAGGACAACTTCAAACGTACCAACATCAGAATAATGGGGGTGCCAAAAGAAGAGAGAGAGCAAGATAATGAAAACCTATTTGAAGAAATAATGTCAGAAAACTTCCCCCACCTGGTGAAAGAAATAGACTTACAAGTCCAGGAAGCACGGAGAACCCCAAACAAAGGAATCCAAAGAGGACCACACCAAGACAAGGACAAAAGACAAAGAGAATCTTGTCTCTTTGGCAAGGACAAAAGACAAAGAGAATCTTGAAAGCAGCAAGAGAAAAACAGTTAGTTACCCAAAAGCGAGTACCCAAATTACTGTCAGCTGATTTCTCAACAGAAACGGGAGTGGCAAGAAATATTCAAAGTGATGAATAACAAGAACCTACAACCAAGATTACTCTACCCAGCAAAGTTATCATTCAGAATGGAAGGTCAGATAAAGAGCTTCCCAGATAAGAAAAAAGCTAAAGGAGTTCATCACCACCAAACCAGTATTATATGAAATGCTGAAGGGTATTCTTTAAGAAGAGGAAGAAGAAGAAAAAAGTAAAGATAAAAATTATAAACAACAAATACATATCTATCAACAAGTGAATCTAAAAATCAAGTGAATTAAAAATCTGAGGAACAGAATAAACTGGTTAATATAATAGAATCAGGGGCATAAAATGGGGGGGAAAAGATATGGGGATTGTGGGAAGAGACTGGACAAAAATGGTACATTTATGGATGTGGAGAGTAGGAGGGGAGGTAAGGGCAGTGGGTGGTTTGGGAACTGGGTAAAGGGAAGCTGGGGGGGGAAGAAGAAACAGATGTAATAATCTGAACAATAAAGATTTATTAAATTTTTTAAAAATTTATCTCACATGATTAGTCAATAACTGATAATAGCAGTACCAATTTTTATAAAAATAGAAATATCAGAAGAAAAAGGAGCTGATTATTTATAAAGGGACAGAAAGTAGTACATTTTGTCATGACACTCCATTTCTAATTCGGAAAGCCCATTTTTATTAGTTCAAGTTTCTATTTAACCCTTTGTACACCCTTAAGCATCTGTAAATGCAAGTGGCAGACCTTTCTCACATTCCACACATGTCTATAGCAGTAAACCCCACATTTTAACTCTAGTCACCCAATTTTAAAATCAGACTTATTAGTGACATGTCCGGGTTTGTAGAAAAAAAAAAATTGTAACTTAAATTTGTAAATATTCCAGTGCATATGGAAGAAATTCCAATATTGATATATAGGGCTGCCACTCAGAAGCACAAGAGATAAACACTGCGACACTTGAGTTGTTTTTTTTTGTTTATTTGTTTATCATGAATTTCACGCTTAAAGTGGTAAACATGGTGTGCATTCTTTTTTTCTTTTTTTTTCTTTTTTTTTTTTTTTTTACAAATTTCTTCTTTGGAGCATCAACAAAATTTAGTGTTTTCAAGACTTTTCATATTGATAGTTTATTTTTATTTCGTGTTCACTTTTGTTGATATTTCCACAGACTGCAAATTATCATTATTTTATTATTGAATTTATCACTGTAATGTATTATATTGTGGAAATAACAAATAAATAAATGGCATCAAATGAAGAAATAATGGAGCCAATCACCTCACAAGAAGATGATGACATCCTTTATTCAACTCCAAAGTCAGATGATTTTTTAAAATTAAATTCAATATTGTGATGTGTGGAGAAGATTTCTATTTTGGACACAAGACAGTTAACTGGTTAAGCTGAATAATTTTGTAGCAGGGAAGGAGACTAGAATAAGCTCATTATAGAGATGTAGTCATAAAGTACAAGACAAAAGAAGGAAATCAATTTACAGTATATGCACCTTTTTCTAGTAATAGATCAGTGGTTCCCAACATGGGGCACCTGCCCAACAGGGGAGTGGGGTGGCAATTTGATTTTTCAGTTATTAAATTTTTTTGCATTTTGAAATTTTTTGAAATTTTTTGCATTTTGTATGTTTCTAGGGGGCCTCATATACAGTATATAAATACAGAATGTGACATATTTATGCATTTCAGTTTATTATATATTTTGAAACCTTACTTATTTTTCATATCACTTCATATTATTATTATTTTAACAATTTCTTAGTGATTTATTTCTTCCTAAGTACTTCAACTGTTCTTTATTTTATTTTTCTCTTTCATGGATACCATGTTCTTTGAAAGCTTGTTTAGACCAAGTTAATGGTCTTTTAAGCTTCCTCCACGTGAATAGGACTTCACTTTTTGAATAATAAAAATTTTATGGCATGAGGGGGGGGAGCATCAGAATTTTAGAGATGCTTAGGTAGGGCATTGCCAAAAAAAAGGTTAGGAACCACTGCTCTAGATAGAGGCAAAAGAGGAAAACAGAAATTGGCCTACACCTTAAAGTTAGCATGCATTAGCCATATTCTCATTGAAAAATGTTGTGAGTCCATTATTTCAAACTTTCAAAAACAAAACACTTACAGTATAATTAGTAGCTTGAATGTTCCTAAGTGATGCTTCCAGTTGTGTTATCAAGAAACGTAAAGTCAAAGCAGGAACTATTTCCTCCCCATTCTGGCTGTTAGCTGCAACTTCTCTCTATGCAAAATTATTCAGTTGAAAATGTCCTTAAGTTAGAATAAATATCTACATATTTTATAAATAATACATTTTCACTGTAAAAAAATTGGAATACAGATATAAAGATTTCTTCTTTAAATCCACACAACCCAGATACAACTGTTCTCATACTTGTTTGTTTTTAAGAAGTCTGTCAAATATTTGTAACTATTTCCTCAAAACACTAAAAGGTATTACTATGTCTGCCAAGGGGTTGGCAATATCCACTCTTACTTCAGAGGAAAGTTGTAGTCCCACTTTATTCTCATATCTTCTGTTCCCTAGCATAACTAAAATCTTCCTTCCAACTCTAAGCCTGTGGTAGTAAGCAGGAATGCTGGCTTCAATAACAACACCAGGGTAAGCCATCTGATACTGCAATCTGATTGAAACCAAGCTGATATATGATTTATTATGTACCTTAGTTTTGTATTTACAGGGATGAAATCAAAGGAATGACTATGTATTGTTTGTGGTCATTCCCCAATGCCTTATGCCCACAAGTGTTTGGCTTAAATTACATTATCTGTTTAATGATTTACAGACATTCCTCAGATTACATCAGACTCGATGTATGTCATTTCGTGGTTATGTCGCCATCTCCCATTTATTTATAAAAAAATAAAGTTCTGTCATTTCACATATTTACATATGTGCTTTAAGGTTTTATTATTTATTTACCACAAGTAAAGATCAGGAATTGTTATCTTTCTTTTAAATTTTTTTTACTGTTTCACTTCATTACTGCTGTGTATGTGCTCCATGTGAGTGACATAGGTGCTTATGTAAGTGGGTTCCAACTTACCTTGAAAATTACATTACCGGTACGTTGCGCTACCAGAACAAATCACTGATGTAACCCGAGGACTATTATCTGTTTGGAAAGTTTAACCTACATTTTCTTAACTTGGTGTCTACTATACAATACTTTACTGTTTTTTTTCTCCTGGCTAAATAGATGATTAATTTCAGTCTCCCCAGCACTCAAGTTAATGAACCTCTTCTCCAATGACACACATTCCCTGGATAAATCCAGTTATGTTTTGAAACACTGCATATTCACCGAGATTTTCCAAATTTATATTTCCAACTCAGAACTATCACCAGAATTCAGATTCATATATCCAACCAATTGCTCGACAATGTATCTAAATTTTGAAAAGGCATATAAAACATAACACTCAAGTTCCACCTCTGCCAAACAGTCTAGATACTTTGAGATCAATCCTCTCAATGACAACTAAAAAGCTGAACAAAATATAAAATCTATTTATTTGAAAACAATGGAAAACTATCAATGGCCAAAATGGAAGAGAGGTGGAAGGACCAGAAATGTAAAACTGATTTTTGGAGTCATTTTTATCTTTAAGTCAACTGTTGTATTTGGTTGTGGCTGAGATGTTAGGCACATCTCTTAGCAAACTTGCAAAAGTAGGGGCAAATTGAGAGTTTCTGACCTATCAAGGAAGAGTGGGCCTATTAACACCTCATTCTTTTGGTTGGGAACCTGAAGAAATATACCGTAAGAGTATCTGTTTTTTAATTTTATTTCTTTATTGATTAAGTTGTTACATATGTGTCCTATTTCCCAATTACCCACCCCGACTCCCTCCCCTCATAACCTCATCTGTTCCACTTGAAAAAAGAACCTAACACTAGGATTTCAATGCATGTAGTTTATTTGGGATATGCCCAGAACAGGGTAGGAGAGTGGAGAAAAGATATAGGAAAATGAAAGCAGGCCTTAAATTAGTGGGATGTGTTATTAAACCAGTTACCCACAGTGGGTAACTCTAGTGAATATAACAGGGAAACTGAAAAACAGTAAAAATAAGAAACCTCTCAGTATTACACAATGCAAAAGGGAACTGAGGTATTTATATAACAACCCTAAAGTGTTTTCTAGGGTAAAGGGAGATATTAATTCCTTGGGACTTCAGAACTGCTGAGTACAGCCTTTTGCAGTCTAGAAGAAAAGAAAAAAGGAAAAAGAAAAAAATGCCTGAGGCATAGAGATGCAGATACTGAAAACTGGAAGTTGTCCAGAGCAGCGGTCGCCAACCTTTCAGACCTCACGGACCACCAGAAGTCTGCAGACCGTTGTTCCAAAGCATTACTGAAAGGATAGAAGCCAAGGAATATGGGCAGGGCACTGGCAGTATCTACTGCAAAGGGTAAACCATAAATAGACTCTTCCCCAGAGAACAGAAGTAAAGTTTGAAATGATCTGTCCTTAGTTGAATTAAGTGATATGTGAGAAAAGCACAAGTACTAAGCATTACTATCGAAGAAATAGTTTGCCCAGTTTTTCTAGTTCTTCTCAAAGGAATGTTGCTCTAAACCAATGCAGGCAGCCACTGCAAGTTGCAGAATTCTCTATGATCTTTTAGATCACTATGGAATCTGTATTAACATCTTCATATTCACATGAATGATTTGGTTATTTTCTTGCTTTTTTTCTTTGAATATTCTTACTAGGCATTTATTAATATTATTGGGCTTTTCAAAAGAACAAATTTTGGCTTTGCTGACCTTTATTACATGCTTTATTCTATTTTATCAGTTTTTAGCTATTTTCATTACTTCCTTCTTTACACTTTGTTTTTAATTTGCTGTTCTTCCATTAACCTCTTGAACTTTTTATTTATATTAAACCTTGCTTTTTATTTATATTAAATTTTGCTTTTTATTCTAACATATGCATTTCAAATTATAAATATTCCTGGAAGCACAGTTTTTACTTAATAACAGTTTTTATATATATATTAATATATAATATATAATATATATATATATATATATTTCTTTTTTTCAGTTTAAAAATTTATGTAATTTTCATTATGATGTCTTCTTTGACTCTTAAGTTACCTAGGTTAGAGGTATATAGTACGGAATTCGTGCAAGGGGCTTGGCCCTTGCAGCTCTGGCTGCCTCATCCCCCCGGCTTCATCTGGAAGGTCATCCAGATGGTCATTTCCCTGTTCAGCTGTTAGGTCAATTTGCATATTATGCTTTTATTATCTATCTACATAAAAGCCTAACTGATTGTCGCAACCAAAATAACCAAACTGACGACCAAACAGGCTGCATTAAGTGACCAGGCCGGCAGGGATATTAGTGAGGGGCGACCAAAAGACCGAGCAGCAGGCTGCATGGGGTGACCAGGCCACCAGAGGGGTTAGTGGGGGCGACCAAACGACCAAGCAACAGGCAGCATGGAGCAACCCGGCCAGCAGGGGTTTAGTGAAGGGTGACCAAACAATCAAGCAGCAGGCTGCGTGGGGCGATCTGGCTGGTGGAGGATTTAGTGAGGGGTGACAAAATGACTGAGCAGCAGGCTGCCTGGGGTGACCAGGCTAGTAGCAGGAGCAGTTGGGGATAACCAGGCAAGTGGGGGCAATCAAGCAGGCAGGCAGGTGGGCAGTTAGAAGTCAGCAGACCAGGATTGTGAGAGGGTTGTCCGACTGCTGGTTTAGGCCCGATCCTAAATCAGCCATCGGACATTCCCGGAGGGATCCTGGATTGGAGAGAGTGCAGGCTGAGAGGACCCTCCCCGCTGTGCACTAATTTCGTGCATAGAGCCTCTAGTTATAGATAAAAGCCCAGTGATCAGAACAGCAGAACAACCAGTGATTATGATGCACACTGCAGCAGCCAACCAGCCTGATCCTGGCCTTGTTCTGCTCCCCCCAATCAGGGGTGAGGCCAGTAAGCTAACAGCCTGCAACCCTTCCCTTCTTCTGGCCCGAACCCCAAGCGGCCCCCAACACCCCAAATCAGGGTCAGGGACAACTGGCCAATCACCTGCAGCCCCTCAACCTCAATTAGAGGTAGGGTCTAACCTTGATCAGGGGTGGGGCCAGCCAGCCAACTGCCTGTGGACCCTCCTCATGGCTGGCCTCCCTCTTTGTCCCCCAACACCCCATTAGAGATGGGGCCTGCCAGACAACCTCCTGTGGTCTCTCCCCACTGCTGGCCCAGCCTGATAGGCCCCCATCGGGGTGAGCAGCCCAGACCCCACCCATGCACGAATTCATTCACCAGGCCTCTAGTATTTTTTAACTTAAGAATATAACTTTCTAGATTATCTTTGTTATTGATTCTAAAATAATTGTAAAATAGAGAACATGCTCTGCATGTTTTAATTCTTTTGTAATTTGATTAGACTTGCTTTGTGACTTAGCACATGGTCAATTTTTATAAATATTCTGTGTGCACTTAAAAAGAGCATATATAGTATTCTGCCACTGTGAGGTGCAGTGTTTACTAGTATATCTAGTATATATGTCAGTATATATTATATACACACACACATATAAATACATGTCAGTTAGATCAAGTTTGTTTCAGCTCTGCTAATTTTGTGTCCATGCTCTATCAGTTATTCAGAGAGTTATGTTAAATCCCACTAGGATTATAGAATTATCTATTTCCCTTTTAGCATTATCAATTTTTGTTCACCTTATCATACACAAAAGTTCTATATGTATGAGGGTCTATTTTTGAAATTTATGTTCTATTTTCTAAATTTGTCTGTAGAGTCAAGAGCAAGTAACAATATTTTAGTTACTAGAGCTCCATAATAAGTTTTAACATCTAAGTGGGCAAATTCCAAGCCCTTTTTAACTACACTTTTCTTTCTTAATTTTCTTGGTTATTCTTTCCTTTATTTCCCAACTGAACTTTAGAATTACCTTTTAGTAATTAAAAAAAGCATCATTTTACCATTTTTGATTTATATAATATTTGTACATTTTAATTTCAGGAAAATTTACAGCTTTGTCTATATTTTCCAAAATGTACTACTTTACAATCAGGTCTTCTTTTCTTACTTTTAATAGAGTTTTAGAGATTTTAATTTATTGTTTTAATAGAGTATTGATTTCTAAATGTAAAGTGAAGAAAATCAGTGTGTGGGGGTACTTGCTTGCTAAAATGGACATTCCCAAATCTACCCCCAGAGATTTAGATCCTTTAGAACTACTATGGTATTCAGACAGCCTCTGGTAGGTGGCTTAGGAAAATCTTTGAGAAATTCTAGTTTACAGTCTTATATACTGAGTGGCCAGATTATTATGATCTCTGAATACATAATAATCTGGCCACTCAGTGTATATTCTATATAATAAAAGGCTAATATGCAAATTGTCCCCTCGACCAGGAATTCAACCAATTGGCAGGGACGGCCAACCGCCCATGTCTCCCATGTCCCCCGCTTTGGCCAGGCTGGCTGGACCTCACCCATGCACGAATTCATTCACAGGGCCTTACACTCACACATACACACACACACACACACTGAGTGGCCAGATTATTATCCATTCAGAGATCATAATAATCTAATCACTCAGTGTATATCCCTTAGCTGTTTCCTTAAGTATTTTACCTTTTTTTTGTTGCCATAATAGATAAGTATTTTTCTTTCATTTTTATCTTTAATTGGCTATGGTTTGCATATATAAAGGCTACTGTGTTCTATTTCTCATTATTGTTTTTGGGTGATTTCCAAAAGATAAGAGGAAAATAGTGGCATTTTTCCATCAATTTAAAACCAGATAATATACCGTGGTAAATTACCTAAGTTAAGGTTATAATTATATGTAGTCTTTAGATATTTTCAGAGTTTGTTTGATTTTTTAATCATAATAGTATTTATTTGTCTTGTGGAAATAATGAATGATATATTTTTTCACAGAAAAGGCACCTATGGTGTATTGCTCCCTTCCCACCAATTAGCTGCTACAAAAAGTAGATATTCTTGCCGAAACTGGTTTGGCTCAGTGGTAGAGCATCAGTCTGCGGACTGAAAGGTCCCAGGTTCAATTCCAGTCAAGGGCATGTACATTGGTACAGAGGCAGCTAGTCGTTGTTTCTCTCTCATCGACGTTTTCAGCTCTCTATCCCTCTCTCCTCCTCTCTGTAAAAAATCAATAAAATATATTTTTTAAAAAGTAGATATTCTCTTTAATTTTGGAAAACTCCGTTAATTTAAAAATTGATACCCATCTTGTGCTGAAAATTTCACTACTTATTATTTAGAAAAATGATCTGCAAGATAGAAATCTACAATATATTCTCTAGAATATTTATTTTACTCATGAATCTAAAAGTTTTAGACATTATTTTTATTTAACATTTTTGAAAAATTTGTCAGTGTTTTAAAAATTAGGAAAACCAACTGCACTCCTCTGTCCCAGAGTGGCATATTATGGGTTATTAATAAAATTAGAATAAATACTAGACTTTACAATCAACAGCTTACAAACTACTAACCAACATTCCTACCATTATTTTGAAAGATTACCACCAACTAACTCTATTTAGTTAATAAAAGTCTAGAGTCAAGGTTGACATTAAGCCCTTCACAAGCAATAAGATAGAGACTTCAAGACTTTAACTATACTATTGTGATTAAAAAAATAAAAGGCACATAGATTTTAATTACTATTAAAAGAAAAGGCACATAGATTGCCCTATGCCCCAAGTACTTGCTTATATTTGGTCTTTGAGAGCACCTAAAATCTTAAAAAGAAGTGTATTTTGTTCTAATGAAGTAACTCTTGGTAGGCTCCCAGATAAGGGTTAGTACTAGGAAAATCAAACCAAGAATAAAAGCTTGGAACTTTTAGCCCCATTGGGAAAGGAACTGAAATTTGAATTATTCGTTGATGACACCTAAATAGTGAAGCATCCATAAAAATTTTTTAAAAGTAAGGGGTTTGGAGAACTTCCAGTTTGGTGAACATGGACACATACCAGGAGAAGGGTACACCCAGACTCCACTAGAACAGAAGTTCCTGCACTCAGGACCCTTCCAGACCTTGACCTGGATGTATATCTGTATCCTTTATCATAAACTACACTGTGTAATGAAATAGTAAACATAAGTATTTCCCCAAGTCCTGTGGACTGTTCTAGCAAGTCATTCTAACCAAGAGATGGTTGTTAGTACCACAATTTATAGACAGTGGATCAGAAGTACTATGGAAAACCTAAGACTGGTGAAGACATCTTAATTGGGGGCAACATTGTGGTACTGGGACCTTAACCTGTGGGATCAGATACTAACTCCAGGTAGACGGGATCAGAATTGAAATGAATTGTAAAACACCCAGCTAGCCTTGGAGAATTAATCAGTCTGGAAACAAACTCTCATAATTACTGTCAGAAGTGCTATGAGTTTGGAGGCAGTATGAGAGTAAAGGAATATAAAGTATTTTCCTAGATAGTTACATACAGAGGGCTACTTTTCTGTCCCAATGAATAAATTATCTTACCTGCATTGTTTGGAGAGAAAAATTTTCTTCTACAAACTTCTTAACATAAGGGACCACACCTTTTGGTAGATTATTAATTGTACTCAATAACTTCTTCACTTCTAATAGTAGATTAACAGGCATAAGATTAGAAGGTATGTCCTTTTCCTGTTTATCCTAGAAGATATTATTAAAAATTTACACAATTATATTTGGCTAATCTTAAAACCAAACTATTTTTAAAAAGAGCAAATCACTATGATAGACTACAGAAAACCCAAATAAAATTAAGACATTCTTCTGCTCTCAAGGAACTTACAACATTATAGAAAGTTTAAGATCAAAACTCAAGAAACTTTCTTATGAGGAATGTCATTATAAATTCACTTGAAAATTATAAACAAAGAAGAAATTCAAAGAGAAGGATAAATGACACCTTTTTTAATAAGGTGATGGAATAGGAAACATGAACAATTTTAGGCATATGAGTTACAACTTAAAAAATAGTTGTTCTTGTCAAAACCGGTTTGGCTCAGTGGATAGAGCATCGGCCTGCGGACTGGAGGGTCCTGGGTTCGATTCTGGTCAAGGGCATATACCTTGGTTGCTGGCACATCCCCAGTGGGGGGGGTGCAAGAGGCAGCTGATCGATATTTCTCTCTCATCAATGTTTCTAACTCTCTATCACTTTCCCTTCCTCTCTGTAAAAAATCAATAAAATACATATTAAAAAAAAAGTTGTTCTTAAGAAATACAAAGCATGCACTGAATTGGTAATTTAAAGCATAAAAATGCTGAGTTTAAAATATTACATAGATTAGTCTACATAATAATATGAAAACTATTTTTAAGAATGGTTTTTATATTAGTTGTGAGGAATGGGTGGGCAATAGAAATGGATAAAGGGCCTGGAACAGATGGATGATGGCCTTCCTTTAAACCTTAACAAGATATTATTGCTTCTATACCCTGCTGAAACTTTGGGAATATGAGTATGTTGCTACTGATTTCTGAATATCAGAACAGCTTTTTACTGCAGAGGCCATAAAGGGTTGGAGTCACTGAAAATGCCCTTGTGTGGAGTTATTCTGACTGTAACTAGGAACCAATAAAGTCCATTCAGAATTATCTGCCTACTCTCCACTTCTGGGTTTGAGTCTTTTTATTTATTATTGTTATTATTTCAGAGAGGAAGGGCAAAGGAAAGAGAGAGATTAACATCAACGATGATAGATAGTCCTGTATACTCCCACACATGGAGACAGCCCACAATCAGGGATGTGCCCTGACAAAAAATCAAATCCTAACCTCCTGGTTCATAGGTCGATGCCAACCACTGAGTCATGCTATCTGGGCTGGGTTTGAGTCTTAAATTAAGATTCCTCCATCTCCAACATACCTAACAAATACACCTTTTTTTAAAATTTATTTTATTGATTTTTTACAGAGAGTAAGGGAAAGAGATAGAGAATTAGAAACATCGAAGAGAGAGAATCATCGATCAGCTGCCTCTTACACACCCCCTACTGGGGATGTGCCCACAACCAATGTACATGCCCTTGACTGGAATTGAACCTCGGATCTTTCAGTCCGCAGGCCTATGCTCTATCTACTGAGCCAAACTGGTTTCGGCTACACCATATATATATATATATATATATATATATATATATATATATATATATATATATTTTTTTTTTTTTTTTACACCTTACTTTTTATAGTACTTCATTACATAAAAATTACATCCAAAAATGCAGGAAAAACGTCTTAAATTTTCTAAAGGGTATATAAGTATATGTTGTGCTATTCTTACTATTCTTGCAACTTTTCTGTTGGCTTAAAATTTTTCAAAAGGTTAAAAAAAAAGGAACTTCCATAAACTAGATAAGCGCTTGTAAAGAATGACCACTAGCCCTGGCTGCTTTGGCTCTGTGGATGGAGCATCGGCCTGTGGACTGGGAGTGTCCGGGGTTCGATTCCAGTCAAAGGCATGTACCTTGGTTGCAGGCACATCCTCAGTAGGGGGGTGTGCAGGAGGCAGCTGAGAGATGTTTCTCTCTCATCAATGTTTCTAACTCTCTATCCCTCTCCCCTGCTCTCTGAAAAAAGGCAACAAAAATATATATATTAAAAAAGAAAGGAATGACCACTGTCACCCTGGCCAGTGTTGTTCAGGGGTTAGAGTGTCTGCCCACATACTGAAGGGTCTCAGGTTTGATTCCTGGTCAAGGGCACCTACATGGGTTGCAGGTTCCATCCCTCGTCCCTGATAGGGGCACCTGTGGGAGGCAGCCAATCAATATGTCTCTCTCACACTGATGTTTCTCTCTCTCTCTGCTTCTTCTATCCTCTCTCTCTTCCTCCATTACCCCCTTTCCACTCTCTCCAAAAATCAATGGGAAAAATATCCGTAGGTGAGGATTAACAATAGCAAAAAAAGATAATTCTCAGTAGCGTAAATATTTCAAACTAAAGGTCAATTCTACCATCAAAAGTCACCACAGAACCATCTAACACTAATTATCAAACTGATATACATAAATTCTTTTTGACAGAAAATACTATAACCATCATGCTTGTTTAATATATCTTATAATAAATACAATTTTAAGTTATTTGTCAAAATATTTGATGCTCAATCCACTTTTTAAAAAATTGATTTGGCATCTAAATCAAATGCAAGTCAGTTCCTTCTTGCCTTTATATCCCATACCCGGAACCTTGAAATGTCTTCTGAATCTAGTCCCCCTGGTTCAAATGTGCGTCCCTGTATACATTAGCATGTGTTGTGTACACTATGCAAAATTTGTTATGGTAATAACCCCACACAAGTAAATACTATGGTTATTTTATGTTTATGTGTATTCTTTCATAAGTTACTGAATAGCCTTTACAAACCTTTGGTATTGTTGCTAATCCTCGCCCGAGGATATTTTTCCATTGATTTTTAGGGAGAGAGGGAAAGACAGAGAAACATTGATGTGAGAGAAACACATCCATTGGTTGCTACCTGCACAAGCAGCAACCAGGGCTTGGGCAGTGGAGGAGCCTGCAACCAATGTACATGTCCTGACTGGAATGGAATCCCCAGGACCCTTTGGTCCAAAAGCTGATGCTCCATCCATTGAGCCAAACCAGCTAGGGCCTTTACAAACTTTTTAAATGGGTATCAATCATTATATTAAACCTGTTCATTCAAATTTCATTGAATATAAGTATGTGATATTCATATATAGTCAATCATAAAGTATATTATTATTAACAATAAAAGCCTTATACTAATATATAATTTATTTTCATTTATTGAGTACTTGACTTTCTAACAGTAAAGATGATAAAAACATCCCAACTGGTATTGGTTAATGTTAAGGATCAACCTATGAACCAGGTCATACTTCCAGATCAGGGCATATGCCCAGGATTCAGACTTGATCCCCAGTAAGGCCCCATGTAGGAAGCAGCCAATCAATGATTCTCCTCTCATCATAGATGTTTTTCTTTCTCTCTCTCCCTCTGAAATCAATCCATATATATATATATATATATATATATAAATATACATATATATGTATATATATATATGATAAAAACAGAGAAGAGAATTAACTTCAGAAACAACTCAGTGAATTTCTTACTAAATAAAATTCAGTGTATGTGTGTGATTTCTTTGTATGTATATTGTTTTTATTTTGCTTGAATTTTGTCTTTGAAAGACAAATAAGAGATTTCTTTAAACCAACTGTTAAAATGTTTCTGGGCAAGTCAACTCAATTATCTATTAATTTTAACTCACAGAGAAGATTGTTGTACAGAATGATAACTTTGAGACACAGATATCAATTATCAAAGCAAGACTTAATCATGAGCATAATCTTACTTACTAAAATACAAAAGTGAACTTACCCTAAATCTTTAAAATAATTAAATTAATTACACTACTTGCTTTAATCAATACTAATTAACAATTAATGAAATTTAAATATTCTCTTACCAATTGATCAGTTAACTTTTCTACCTTATTCTCAATTTCTTCCTTAGTCTCCTCCTCCACAGGAAGATCCCTATTTTAAACAAAAAAGAAAGGTGTACTCAGGGTATCTCCTTATAAAGAATATAATTAAATTTAGTAGTAAAAACTCTAACAAGTGAATTTTTGTCTGAAAGTTTCAGAAGTGTAAAATTGTGTTATCAAAGACTGATAAAAGGAGGTAGGTGCCCTATCTCTTTAGGGACTCAATGAAATTATGCCATGTCTTAACTGTATGTGGTAGAGAGAATATAAAACTGATATAAAGGAAACTCCATCTTCAAACAGACACATACTAGACCAAAATAATGGGGGGGAAATTAGCTTATAGCACTGTTTCAATATAAAGAAAAAAGGTTCTTTAAAAGGTTGATGTTTTGTTCTATTTAAGTACATATGTATGTCTTTATGAATGTAATAAAGGCTTAGAAAGGATCTATTAGTCAGATAATTTTATTTTTTTTAGGTTCCTAGCCTTACAATTGTCCAATTTTCCAAAATGATTTTTTGAAATTCAGGCAGAATATAATATTTAGAAAATTGTCAACTATTTTTGTAAAAGGAATAATTTGACAAGTTTTACTTTTGACATTGGCCTGAAATTTGAACATATGCAGTATTATATACTAAAATGAAAATTTTATTTATGAAATATATTTGCCTACATATAGAAGCATGACAAAGAAATAAAAATATAAGAACCATAACACAGCATATATGATTTATATGACCTTAATTTTATATACTTGCAGATATAAAACTGAGGTGAGAAACTTCTATCAATAGATTTACTCAAAAATTATACTTTATAAATATTACCCCATCTTACTTCACATTTATGTACTCATTTGACAGAAATTTCTTTATCATCTACATTGTGCAAACTGATTTTTTTTTTTAGGGGAAAGTGGGACAGATAAAAAGTATAGCATTATTCACACAATGAAAGTTTCAACAAAAAAATGATTCTTACACAGAAACAATGTTTCACAATATGATTCTCAGTGCTCTTTAAAATGTCATGAAAAAGAATAACCTATTCACTAGTATTTCCAACTTTCTACTGTACAGTTTCTGTAAGAATATCTTAACAGCATGTTAAGTTACATCCAAAACTGAACTCATTATCTGTCCTCTCTTTGCTTCTCACACAAACACACATTAAACCTATCTCTTTTTGAGATCCTTTTATTAATTAGTGGTATAATCAATATAATCTACATACATAAAGAGCCAGGGTCCATCATATCCAAAATGACTGGAGGGACAACAAAATGCCATGAGGGACGGAGGTGGAGGGGTGGGAAAGGGGCCGGGGGCGAGGACAATAGCCTCTGGTCCAGGCTGGGTGGAGGCCTAATGACCTCATCACTGCCTCCTTGGTTGCCTCCAGAAGGACCTGAGCCCTTCACTCCGTGGACCAGCGGCCCTTTTCCTGATACCATTCCCAGGATCTCTCAGACCCATTTGTGAAAGTCAGGAAAAACTGTGTTTGATCATTTCGCCCTGGGGACTCCCAGGGCTGACAGCAAGGGTGGGCTTCTGTGGGGTCCCCTCTGTTATGCAATCCAGGGTTGATACATCCTAATGTTGACTCTGACAGGACTTGGGCTGGTCCTCTGTGTATGTGAAATCCCGCTCCCTATACCAAAGCCCCCGAGTCTCTGAGATCCAGATGCAAAAATTGCCTGTTACCCCACCCTGGGGACTCCCAGGGCTTACACTGGAGGAGGGTACTGGTGGGGTCCCCTCTGTTGTGGCATCCAGAGTCCCTTTAGTGTTTCCTTGGGTCCTCACCTTGACTCTGGCAGGACTTGGGCTAGTCCTCTGCGTATCTGAGATCCACTCCATATACCAAAGCCCCTAAGTCTCTGAGACCAGAATGCAGAAATCGCCTGTTATTGTCATCCCACCTTGGGTGGGATGACTCTGTTTTAGGGTCAGGGTCCCTTCCGCCTCCCTCATGTTCTAAACCTTAAGCCCTGGCAGGTCCTGGGATCCTCCCTCTGTTGGCCCAAGGCTGGACTCCTCAGATCAAGGCCTCACTGCCCTGAGTCCTCTGCAGGAAGTCAGTGTACATCACAGCTGGTACCAAGCCCAGCAATTCCAAAGCCTGATGGCAGGAGATGAGATGGATTCCATAGGGTCCTTTAGCCCTCTCTCTAATCCATACTTTGACAGCATCTGGGCCTCCTGTCCTCTATGAACCTGAGACTGCAATCCTCAGACTAAGGGTCTGATTACCCATATTCCCTCAGAAAGTGGGGTGGGGGGAGGTGCAGTTTTCAACATACAAACAGGAAACCCAATTTTAGGAATTTAAATTCCTGCCTCATTCACCTTATTATTTGTTAAACCCCAAATCTAGATACTTTGCCTACTATTATTACACCCAAGATTTTAAACAAAGCTAAGATAATCAGTTGAGCAACTCTTTTAATTAAAGACTGTCTAAAGGCAATGATTTCAACCTTGAAAAAAGAAAGATGGGGAGAGCCGCATGGACAGTGGAAAAGGGGTGAGATGGAAACTTTCTCTGGTAGAAGTGAATGGTTTTCAAGGTGCATAAGAGCAACCTGTACTAGGGAAGCAGTATGATTCACATCTCCACAGAGACAGTCACATTACCTTGGAAAGATTTTAGGTAAATCATATGAAAACTAGCTAATGGTGAAGGATGAGAAAGAACAATGAACCACTGAAATGGGTGACCGAGGGAAATGTTTGGAGGAGGCATCATCTCCCTACCATGTGACTCATCAGAATTGAACACAGGTCAATAGGTTGAGAAGGCTTAGGAGTGCTAAAGAAATGTCCCCTTTTTCTTACCAAAGCATCTTGGCCTTCTCGCTCCTCCCCATGAAAGTGTCAGGATGGTGCTTTATGATGTCTAAATTTCTCTCCCAGAGCTACCATTAGCTATAGAAGACAGGAGAAGCTTCCTGATTAATTAAAGCCTAGGGGGTGTGGCTCCTAATTGTCCTAGAGAAAAGCATATGTTCAGGAGGCCTGGGGTAAGGCCCCGGGAAATTTTGGCATGATAAAGATGACCAGGAAACCACAAACTCCTAGCACAGTTAGGTAATAACCAACCCCATTCACCAAAAGAAGGTAAAAGAGGAAGAAGCCCTGTTAACCAGGTCCAGTCTCTGGGATGAAAGGACCACACTCAAATTCCTCCTCTTCTTCTTTAGTGGCATATCCCCAAGACTCCCTGGTCTTGCCTGGCAGATTCCATCCTCAACCCATACTTTTTCTCATGAAGACTTCTTTTCCCTTTCATCCCAGCCATTTCCCCATAACCAATGTCCTTCTGTGCTCACTCTGTTGTCCTTCCAGGTACTAAAGACATCCAAGGGGGTAAAAAGATGTTTTTAAGAGAGTTCAAGGGAAGGAGCCTTTCCAAAAATTCCTACCCCTTCAAGAAAACCTAAGAAAGCTATAAAGCCAACAATATGTGGCCATTATCACAGGCCAAATGAGGAACTGAATAAAAATTAACCAAAAAAAACACACAAGAAAATGTAGAAAAATTCACCACCTCAAGTGGTAACTTGGGTAGCCAGTAACTTCAGAGCAAGGCCAAAGACCTCAGAACTATCTATGAAGTCTCTAAAGTCTGGCCCCTAAGAAATGCTGACAGTGTGGTAGCCACATTTTACACCTACAGGATATACCAATAGTGATGATTAAAATAAAATTGATAAGTGGTTCACTTCCAGGGTAAGCATAATTTGCAGTCCATTTTTATTAAATTTATTGGGATAACATCTACATTATAAAAGATGAGAGGCCATCACATCCTAAATGACCAAACAGACAACAAATCATAAGGAGGGGAGGAGCAGGGCAGGAGGTGGGGGTGAAGCAGGGTGGCAAGGTTGTTAGCCTCTGGCCTGGCCAGGTGGAGGCCTAACAACCTTGCCGATGGCTCAGTGGCTGCAGATCAGACCTAGAGAGAGGCCTGGAGAGGCAGGGCATAATCAACAGCCACAGTGGTTGCTGGCAAGGCCTGGAGAGAGAGAGAGAAGCAGGAACTGATCAGCAGCTGCCTTGGCTACTGGCAAGGCCCAGAGAGAGAGAGAGGGGCAAGGGCTGATCACAGTCAGACATCCCCAAAGAGGTCTCCAATTGGAGAGGGTGCAAGCTGGGCTGAGGGGAAACCACTCCCCCACCTCCCCACCCCCGTGCACAAATATTATGCACTGGGATTCTAGTATAATATAGCGGTACCATATTAGCGGTATAATTTCCTTCTGGTCATTAGGAACCTATGAGCCATCTCTACTTCTTTTTTTTCTGGCTTACATTTTCTCTTTTTAATAAAAAGGCACCTATAAAATAGGTCAGTTCAGTACAGGCAGCACAAAGACCCCCAGAACAAGCCTAGAAATAGTTTCAAAATAAAAACCCAAAGGATGTCTTCACATATTGTATTTATATATTTATATTTATATATATTTATATAATGGTACAAAATGGCTGGGATGGACGTGGATGGAGGAGGCTGGCCTGTGGAGTTTACCTGGAGAAGGTGCGAGAGGGAGAGTGCTGGCCCGGGGTCTGTCCCTCCCCTCTGGGCAGGCAAGGTGGAGACAGTCTGGAGAGTCTGTGGGGGGAGGGGAAGGCTCGCAGACAGGGGCAAGCAGGCCAAGCGGAGGCAGCACAGCATCTCTACTTCTTTTATCCCTTTTTTCATATTTAAGCAGTCATAGATTTCTGTTTATTCTAGTTTTATAAATCCCTCCTTTCTTACTATTTCCTATTCCTAGTATTGCAAGCCTTCATCAGCTTCTTCCCAAGCGATTAGTGTTGTATCTTGAAATTGCATTTATTTCCACTATCAATAGAGGTAGTCTTTCCAAAATATAGCATAAAATTTCATTTATCTTCTTAAAATGTCAATTGTTCTGCACAAAATAAAGCTAAACTCCTTAACAGGACAGTCAAAATGCTCGTTAAGAATTTGTCTTAAGTACTTTTTCTTACCGTTTCCTTAACCAAATTACCTCTCATCTTCTCTGCTTCTACACCCATCAAAATGCTTCCTAGTCTTTAAAGTTCAATTCAAACAGTACCGTTTGAAAATCCACTTCACCCCAGACAGTAATTATCTTTCCTTCCTATATATAGCCTCAGCATCTCTAATATAACACTTATGTATGCATTTTGCCTAAATATATCCTTTTATATACCTTTCTACATTATAATTCTTAATACACAAATTTTGTTTAGTCTTTATTCCCTAAGTATCAAGAAGGTCAGTAAATATTTATAAAATAAATAGAGCACGTTGCTTATTATATAAGATAGCTATAGAAGGGAGATCTCCAATACTAACCTATTGTTTAGTATTATAAGGGAGAGGTATAGGCAGGCTAAACTGGTACCTGATTGGAGGGACTTTTGGCTTGGCCCCAAATGAACCAATCAATAGACACTTTTGTGTTATGCTTAAGTTACCTTCTATAAAAGAGAATAATAGCATCCACCTCATAGAGTTGTTATCCATTCTAATAAAAGAGAAATATGCAAATTAACCACACCTTTGCTACACCCACAAGCAACGCCCACCAGCCAATCAGGGCGAGTATGCAAATTAACCCAACCAAGATGGCAGTAATTTGCATATCCAGGCCAGAATGAAGACTGAAGACAGTGTAGAAAGAAGCCAAGCGCTACAGAAGGGAGCGAAGCTGCGGAGAAGCAAGCAAGCGGGGCAGGGGAGAAGGGAGGGAAGCAGGCAGGGCAGGGAGTAGGGCAGAAAGCAGGTGAGTTGGCGACTGCAGCAGGAAGCCCTATTGTAGGAATCTTCCTGCAACAGGGCTTCTAGTAAGGTTTTTATGTTAACACTAGTGGCCCGGTACACAAAATTCATGCACTCAGGGCAGGGGGGCCCCAGCCTGGCCTGTGCCCTGTCACAATGTGGGAGCCTCACAATCCATCGCCTTAAAGAGGTAGGCCCTGTCCACCCATCCAGGACTCCTACATGGATTTCCTCAAAGAGGTAGGCCAGACCCAGAAAGGCCTGCAAACTCCCAGGCCAGGCTGCAGTAGGGCCACTGCAGAGGCCTCTCTGCACGCCTGTGGACCCCTGGTGCAGATGCACATAGGCCTCTGCCATCCCCCCGCCCCCCGGCCCCCGTCCTACATGCTACAAGTCCTCACCATCTACACCTGCTGAGCACACAGCTTGCTGATTGGTCATTATGCGTGAGGGCATCCTGACCAATTTGCATATTACCCTGTTAATAGTATAGATTTGTAAAAGCATTTAAAACAATGTCTGGCAAAGAGTAAGTCAATGTAAGTGCTTATTAAATGATATATATAATATTACTTTATTGAAAATGCCCAAATATGACAAACTTTGGTTTATTTTTCAATTCTTGGCTCTTCAACCAGGGTGTGGTCCTTAAATAAATTTTCTAAAATTAGATTTTACCCAGTTTACTAGTACATCCTCCATTCTTCAAAGTTGCTAACTGTCTTGAAAAACAAGGGTATCTCATTCACAGTAGCTTTCTAAGATTATATGGAAGAAACAAGTGTTGTGTCTTCCATAACAAATGCAGTTGGCTTTTGTCAATCCACCTCTTACCTCACAAAAAATTCTTCTGGAAGAGAATCCATGATGCACAATGTTCTTTTGCAAAAGTCTTATTCCAATGCTTACAGTCTGACTTCTACTACTGCTGTTTAAAGCTGTAAGAAAAGTAGTATTTTTAGTGGTAATGTAGGAGGATTACATTCTTTCTCCCTACTATATAAGTAGTACATGATCATTAAAGAAAATTTTGAAAATTCTAATAGAAAATAAAGATCACAATTTCATCATCTAAACATAAATCACTGTTTACATTTTAAAATACTTAATTGCTTTTCAAGCATAGGTATATTTGACCAATTTGTAATCATATTGAATAGACAATACTCTACACTACCTTTTTCACCACTGAACACTATGTCAAAAGGATTTTTCTTATTATTTTGTACCTCTGGTAATTATTCTAATAGTTACACTATTCTAATTGATTGATTAGGATTTCTTTGACCATTTTCTTATAGTTGGACATTTAGATTGTTTCTCATTGTCTTATTATAAATAGCATTTTGATAAATTCCGCTGCCCATAGGCCTTCTCTATATTTATGGTTATTTCCTTATCATTTGCAAGAGTATGGGTGGACCTGGAAAGCATTATGCTAAGCAAAATAAGCCACTTGGAGAAAGTTAAATATCACATGAACTCACTCATTTGTGAAATATAATGAACAATATAACTGATGAATATAAAAATAGATCCAGAGACAAAGAAACAAGTAACAGACTGTCAAAACTCAGAGAGAAAGTAGAGGAGGTTGGGGAGGTGAGGTAAGAGGTCAACCGAAGTACTTGTATCCATGCATATGACCAAGACCAATGGACACAGACAATAAAGAGTGGGGGCATGTGCTGAGGGGCGCGATTGGGCAGGAAGAAGTCAATGGAAGAAAAAGGAGACATAAGTAAAACTTTCAACAATAAAGAATTACCAAAAAAAAAAAAAATACAGTGTTAATTCCACTTTCAAAAAAAAAATTCTCAGAAGTAGAATTCCTAAGTGAAAAAAACACAAATATTTTAAGCCTCCTATATATTGTTAAATGGCTTCTGAAAATGTTTGTACATTGTTTTTAAATCCCCTGATCAATTTACAGGTCCTGATTGGTCAATAAGTTTACATTTAATGTGTGGGAAGATTTCCCATGAATCTGTTACTTTCAAATGCTCTGGCACTTACAGATTATACAGTGTCAAGTAAAAGAGTTGATTTGAATGTAAAAAGAAACAAACAAACAAACAAAATAAACACACCACAATTTGCTCTTCTCAATGCTATTGACTTGAAAATAAGACAATAAGACAATTGCTGTTTTGCAGGACAGGAGTTTAGTTATTGAAAATTTTTCTTATGCTCGATAAAATTAGATTTTCTTTCTTGGCACTGCTGACATTTTGGGCTTATAAATTTTTGGTATAGGAAGTTGTCCTATATCTATGTATGTAAGTATGTATGTATGTATTTAAAATCCTCACCCAGTGATATTTTTCCATTGATTTTTAGAGAAAGTAGGAGAGGGAAATATAGAAACATTGGTTGCCTCCTGCATGAGCCCTGACCAGGGTCTGGGGGCCAGGGAGGAGCCTGAAAAAAGGTGAAGTACCCTTGACCCAAATGGAACTCAGGTCTGTAGGTTGACACTCTGCTGAGCCAAATTGGTTAGGGTGTTTTTATTTATTTTTCTAATTGACTTTAGAGAGAGGAAAGGGGAGAGGGGAGTCAGGACAGCAGGAAGGACAATAGAGGGAGAGGGAGAAGAGAGAGGGGGTGAGGAGAGGAAGGGGGCAGGGGAGTGGGAGAGGGAAGTGGAAGAGGAGAGGGAAAGGGAGGGGCAGAGGGAGGTGGAGAAGAGAGAAAGATTGGCTGTCTCCAGAACTCACCCCAACTGAACTCACCCCAACTGGGGATTACTCCCACAACCAGGGCAAATGCCTGGACTGGGAATGGAACCCACTACCTTTTGGTGTATGGGACTATGCTCCAACCAGCTGAGCCATGCTGGCAAGGGCTGTTCTACACAGTTTTAGAATGCTTAGCAGCATGCAGGCCTCTACCCAGTAGATGCCAGTAGCAACTCCCCCACTTCTCAGCCCCTCTGTAGCAACCAAAAGTGTCTCTAAACATTGCCAAATGTGCCCTGGGGGATAAAATTGCCCCCAGTTGAGAACTACCTAACTAGATAAATGAGTTAAAATGAAAAGGCTAATTAAATGAACATATAACACATTGTTCTGAGGAAGAAAAATAATACCACCCTTATATTACATAGCATGTACAAGCAATAAATCACCTGTCTACATGAAAGAGAAAATTACATAACATATCTCATTAATATTCCCATTAATGCCAAAAATATATTAAGAGTTTGTATAACTTTGGTAGTTACAAGCAGAGAAACATTGGAATTAGTCTGCAAGGGTATATAACCCTGCTTTGACACACAATAGTTGTGCAACCTTGTGTAAATTAACACCACTGTGCCTCCGTTCCCTCATCTGAAAAACTGGGATTAAAATACTTGTTTCATAGGGTTATCATGAACAGTAGGTATTTAAAACATGTAATAGCACAGTACCTAGCACATAGTAAGCACTACCTGTGTCCCTATCATCACCATCATTATCATTTATTTTTTTTAAGTTTTCAGCAAAATTAGTTCGCTTTTCTTCCAATTATCTACATTGGATAAATAGTATTATACAGAAAAGAATGGTAATAATGATACTTAAGAACTGAGACAAAAACAGTTTTTCAGATATATCCCACATTGCACAAACAGCAGCTTAGTTTGTAAGTTTGTCATTTTGTATTTTTGTTATTAGCACATATACATCAGCCATATCCTTTAAACTGCATGATATGCCATTGTAAAATAAATCATTCTCTGGCCACTAGTGATAAATACTTAAATTGTCTCCATTTGTGTCTTGTTTTGGTGTGATTTTGTTTTTGTTTGGCTATTACAAATAATGATGCAATTAACAATCCTGAAGCTACAACTTGGTAAAAATTAGATAGCTATTTTTAAAAGCTGGATTTCCTAGGTCAGCATTGAACTCAAGAAGTTCATGGATCTGTTAATAGCATAAAATTGGACACCATTAGTTAACACTTCTATTAGATTTTTACCAAAAGCATTAAAAAATCTCCTTAAAGTTGATATGATATGTTTTGACCACATATATAAGCAGTATTAACTTCAAGGCTTAAAAACAAAACAAAACATGAACAGGACACTCTCTAGAAATAAGGCAAGGCACTTCGTGCCAATATTTTAACTATTACTGATCAGATTATGTCTGCTAGAAAAGCAGCAACAGCTATTCATATGGGTTGCTTTTAAGTTACCAAATCAGGTGTTCTGTGATTCTAATACTCTGAAAGTTGTTATTTCTTGTATGTTAGACAGCTTCAGATAAACAAGAATGGCTATCAGGTTAGACTCAAAGAATAACAAGCTGTACTATTATTTTGTTATTAGCTGTGTTAATACACTACAAAATACACTGAGTGGACAGATTATTATGATTTCTGAACACATAATAATCTGGCCACTCAGTGTATATCCTTATATAATAAAAGGCTAATATTCAGATTGTCCCCTCTACCAGGAGTTTGACCAGCAGGCTGGACAACTGCCCAAGTCCCCTCCCCCTGGCCAGACCCCACCCATGCATGAATTCATGCACCAGGCCTCTAATGTGTGTGTGTGTGTATATATACACACACACACACACACTGAGTGGCCAGATTATTATGCGTTCAGAGATCATAATAATCTGGCTATTCAGTGTATATTGATCATTTGATTTTCAAATTTCTAGTTTCTTTAATTTTTGTATTTGTTTAACTTCTTGTCAAGGCTACAAAATGAATGTACCTAGAAAAGTGACCAAAACAATTATTTTACCCTAAATAAAAAACATTTAGTTTAATCAAGCAAACTCCAAGATGGGTGCATGATGACCAGAGAATCTTTGCAAAATTATCAGAAATTGAATACATTCTCAACCCAAAAGATTAGGATACTCATTGTCCATCTCAGCTCTTGCCATTTATCAAAGATCACTGTTAGCACTACCTGGCAGCTTACTCCAGGAAACAAAAACTTTGCAATGTATACCCACTGCCAACTCCTTATAAATTTGCCAAAATAGAAAACATTCTTGACAAAATTAGCATCCTGGCATAAATTAAATAAATATTTAATTATTTTCATATCTAACCAGTCAATTATTTTTGCACATACAAAGGCAAATCCAAAGGATATATATTAATTTGTTTTGAATATTTGGAATGTACCTACAATTATGATGCATAGGTTATGATTTACCTGAAAAAAAAATCTAGATATCAAACTATCCATCAGTTTCAGATTATTTCCAGGTAGCACTGCCAAAAAAAAAAACTGTTCAAAAATGTAGCTGGGAACTGTTGAAAGGAGCATCTGTTACCCCTAAGCAAATTCTCCAAAAGTGAAATATTTTCAACAACTTAAAAATATTATGTTGTCATTACAGGTGTTAGACAAAAGGAAATAAGACAGGATGTTGAGACATGATACATGTAGGGATGTTAAGCAGAGAATGGAGCATACCATATGTACTTGACTCCATCACCACAGATAACAAAGCACCCTACCCAAATCCAACTTGATCCACTCACGTGAGAAAAGTACTGCTCCTCATTATCACAGAAAGACATATATTTGTAAGAAGAGTTTAGGTGAGAAGGTAGATCAAGCTTTTAGTTATAAAAAGTTTACGTTCATATAAAATTAATGGGGATGGGGGAGCCCTGGCCAGTACTGCTAAGTGGTTAGAGCATCAATCCAGAAACCAAAGGGTTGTGGGTTCGAATCCCGGTCAAGGGCATGTACCCGGCCCAAGTCAGGGCACATGTAGGAGGCAACTAATTGCTGTGTCTCTTTCATATCAATGATTGTTTATTTCTCTCCCTCCTTCCCTTCCACTTTCCCTTAAAAATTAATGGGAAAAATATCCTCAGCTGATCATTAACCAAAAAAAAT